AGCCCCACTAAAATAAAGCTGAAGATGTGTGGGGCCCACTTGGGACTCCATAAGAAGCATGTCCCACTTAAGAGAGAAATTTCCTATTCTAGTGGCTTGTGAATGAAGCCACATGCCTTTGATTAAAATTTAAGGACTATGTTTTGTAGGGATTTTTATTGAAACAAGAAAGGAAAATTTTGAAAATTAAGAGACAATTTTTAATTTAAAGTATGCATAAGAATATTATGGAAATGATAGGATTAGATTAAGGAAGTTGAATGATAAGGTTTTAGCATATTTTTTTGAATCATGATAGCTGATCTAAGGGTTGTATGATTCAGATCTCTCACCCCACAGATCTCTTATGATTAATAGTCTGGATCTAATCTCCATAAGGATTGCTAACTCGAAAAAACCCTAACTCTAGAGAAAGTCAGTAAATGGGGGCCAAATCTCTACACTTTCTCCATACCCTTGATCTCTCACTCTCCCCAAGATTGGTACACCTCTGTCTCTCTCCCCAAGAATGGTACACGTCTCTCTCTCTATAGATCTGATCTCTCTCCCTCTCTAGCCCTCTCCCTATCTAGCCCTCTCCCTACCTTAGAAATATTTAAAAATAAGAAATAGGGGGCACACCCATGCATACAGTGCCTAGAGGTGCCACACCCATATTAAGGCATTGAGGCCTTACACCTCTATGCTAATGTTCCATTGCTCTCTGATTTAGTTAGGGTTTGTAGCAAAGGCTTTCTCATACTTCAAAGATCTAAGATAGACCATGGATCCCGTATACCATTGAAGGAGACCTGAAGTGGAGTGTGCAAAGTCCAGTTGAAGTATTATTCTGGTAATCTTCTTAAGATTTACAATTTTATCTTTAGTTGTTCCTATGAGTATTATGTGCTTCATGATCCCAAGATCAAGTTTATACAATTTCGCTTGTGTGATAAATAGTTGTTAAGTGGCAGAAAGAGAGAGTCATTGGGTTTCTTTTGTGTTTTTATTGTTTCTCATAACGTTTTAGACTCTTACAAGTAATTCGGGAGGTGAAAATAAAAGAGAAAAAGAAAAATTTACATTGGTATACACTTCCCCTCGTTATGTAGTCCTAATTTAAAAAATTAGTGTGCAAAAGGTTGCACTGGGCAAATAAATCCTCTGCCTTAAAATAGAGAGTTTCGATGTACTTTCACGGATTCAATGCATGGGAATAAAGAGTCTATAATGCACCACGGTTGCCTTAATTTCAAGAGCAAAGGGGGTAAGAGTGAAAATCAAGTAGAACAAATGTTGGGTCTTTTTTAAAAGATTAAGAAAGCATCCTTTGAAGTTGAAAGACATGACCATCCAATAGGTAGTTATGATTGTTAATTGTTGGTTATAACTACCTAACAGTCATTAACGGTCAAACATTACATTTCAAACAGCCATAAACCCTCTCAAATGCCACTAATTATCGCACAGCGCAAGGTGCACCTCATATACCCGTGTGCCCTTGCACGTGCACGCAGACATACATGTAACCTTTCACTTTTTCTCCCATATTCTCTACACTTGAGTCTAGAAAATGTTTCAATATAAGTACATCATTGTTGTTTCTTTATTCCTCAATGTTGGTTTAAAAAGCCACAACTTCTGTCCATAATTAGACCTTTTAGAAAATTATAGTTTGAAGTCATATTATTTTAAAATAACACATAGTATTTCATTAACTAAAAAACAAACATTTCCTCCACTTTTTCAAAATAATATAGAAAATTGAGACAACAATATATCATTTGCATTCTATGAAGGTATTTTTCAATTTAAACCTTCACTAATGAGTGTGTGACAAAGCCATGGAGTTCAACAATAGCACATAACTTTGAACAAATGACCTTATTCAATAGATTTGTAGTATAATGGATAAATAATTTATATATATCACATGTTTTACCTGTTTATTTTGGACCTTGTGCATATCTCCCAAATTTATAAAAACACCATGACATATAAATAGTCATAGATTTCATTAAGAACTTAATTCATACTTCTTGAGGTCATCATTAGTCTTATCTACCATATGTATTTATTTCAAAATAATATTTATTACTAGTGACCAACTAACCATATTATCAATTAGTTATATGCATATAGAACCTAGAATTCCGAGTTAACAAAATATTAGGGTGGGTTCCCATAGAAGATGATTACATTATGGACTTGAGCCCCATTCTCTCTGACATCTTACCAACATGTGCCTTTGCTAGGCCTTTTGTCAAATGATTGACCAAATTCTACTCTTGAACTCATATATTCCATATTCACTAGTCCATCTTCAAATAATGTTTTTATAGATATGTTAGATTTTCCATTTTATACATCATTACATGCTCTTGCAATCGTCGTATGATTGTCACAATGAAATATGATTCCTTGCACCGATTTTAGCCATATTGGTATGTCGTACAAAATATTCTTTACCCATTTGGCTTCTTCACAAGAAGAATGTAAAGCTATAGATTTCACTCCATTGTTGAGTACGAAATACGTGTTGGGTTAGTTGACCCCCATGATATTGCTCCACTTGATGGAACCATCCATCCTGATTTTAATAATGATTCTTGGCTTTCCACATTCCGATCTGCATACACATCCTCCCAATACTTTAGGACAACTCAAAGTGAACCGTATTTGATAGTTTCTTTTAAATGTTGTAATACTCAAGCAAGTAATTTTCTATACGCTCAACTTATATATCTAATAAGTTAGAATTTCAAATGTATTTTGGTAATTTTTTATTTGAAATAATTTTTTATTGGCTACTCTTTGTTTTGATGTAGGGGGACCGCAGATTTCACGCAAAATATTTATAAACAAAATATAAAAATATAAAGCAAATCTTTACCATCCAAAGGCCCAAAGGTTGAAGCTTGGCTCATTACGAACTGAGCTAATTTGCAAGCAATATTGGCTTGTTGACGTCCCTCATAAGCATTTGTTAGCATGAACTGTAATTTAAAGCCATATGATAGTTTATTGGGTTGTTTATGCTAATGTCTCTTATAATTAGCAGTATTTAGAAAATGTCTCCCATATTTTATATTTCATCCTCATGCCCCCTTTTTCTCCAAATACCTTCGGCTGAAAATTACTTTTGAATCACTCATAATCAAAGCGGTCCGAAACTATTGTAAGGAATTAAATTAGTTTAGAATTATTGGTTTTGAACCACTCGTTGCAAGGAATAAAACTGATTCAAAACTACGAGTTAGTCCCAACCTGCTCATTTTAATGAATCATAACGGTCTAGAACTTATAGTACTGAACCACCCACTAAGATATCAAAGATTATAACAAATGAAAGTGAGTCTAGTTAGCAGTTAAGAACTAGTAGTTTCAAACTAAAGATATTTTGGAAAAAATAAAATATAGAAAAAAACAAGCATAAAATAAAATATGCAGAAAATTTCTTAATTACCACTAATTAGATATTAGGGTAAATATCCCTAGTATGTTCATGGGCTTATTCTTCCTTTGTTTTTAGTAGTGGCATAAAGAAAATAGTCCAAAGGCAAAACAAGCCCGAACTGGATTAACAAAGATGTTTTCGGATTATGATTGCATTATGAGGGACTTAAAAATAAAAAATAAGAAAAAAATTGGTTGGTAGACAATAACTGGTGGTTAAATCCAAACACTAATTGCCATTAGGGGTGTAAGCCGGTGGGACCTAGCGATTGCATTGTGAGGGAGTTAAAAATGAAAAATAAGAGAAAAATGGGTTGATAGACAATGATTGGTGGCTTAATTTAAACAGATTGGTGGCTTAATTTAAACATTATTTCCCACTTGGGGTGTAAGCCGGTGGGGCCTGGGGCCTAGCCCTAGGAAATGTAAATGTGCCCAAACCCCGAGCCCACATCGGCCCGTACCTTTTGAGGCCTGTTTGGAAAGCATGGCCCATTTGCACCAGCTTGCGACATATCGGGCCTTAATACTAAAGCCCAAGCCCTCTATTTCTTTCTCTCTCTCTCCCTTTCTCTCTCTGTTATTGAGAACGCTGACCCACAAACAATACATGGATGCATCATCCAATCCCAATTATTCAATTAACTCATCTGTCATGGGATGCGACCCTCAGCGTTTTATGCTCTTTGAGAAAGAGTGCACAAACAGACCACTTATTTTTTTGGGTGCGGTTTGAATAGAGCCGATGCTCTAAACAATCAAATTAGAGCCCACCTTCAAATAGTGTCAAGAATATGGTTTTAATATTGAAAAGTATTATGATAGCCTTAAATTATATTTTCATTTTTAGTTATAAAATTTAAAGTTTAAAAAATATTGTAGATCCAACAAATCGATGAAAACTTGAAAATCTTAAAAATTGATGGTCGAAAAATGCGTTACAAGATACACTATTTCCAAAACTTGAAATTCATTTTTTCCTCATGTCCATGCATCTTGATGTCGAGATGATCAATTTGATGATATTTTGGCATCAAAACAACTTCTTCTAGTAAAAGTTTTGATATAGGCTCTAATTTGATTGTTTAGAGCCGAGGCTCTATACAAACTTTTTCATTTTTTTTATTTTTATGAGGAAGTTACAATCACTCACATATTTTAAATGGAGTGGTTGAAATAGTGTAATTGACTAGACTTAAAATTTAATAAAATTTTTTAAATGGAGTGGTTGTAATAGGGTAATTAACTAGACTTAAAGTTTAATAAAAAATTTTAAATGGAGTGGATGTAATAGTGTAATTGACTAGAAGTAATTGTTCTTATAACGAGAGCGAAGAAAAAAAAAAAAAAGAAAAAAAAAAAGAAAAAAAAAAAAGATAAAAAAAAAAAAGGGTCATTGAGCAATGTGACCAACTGGAAGATATAGTGAAGCTCTCTTTTTTTGTTATTTCATGAAATGGCACAATGATTTTGTAATTTCTTTTTTGACAAGATTAATTGAATGTTTCTTTAATGTCCCTATAATTTTTTTCCTTATTCCAGGATCTCTCTCTCTCTAAAATAGTGAAACTTTATGCGATTCAACGAAATGACGTTTACTAGTCCTTTACCCCTCGCCATCTCTCTCCCTCTTGTAAGGTATCTCTCTCCTCCTTATTTACAGAACAACAACCTCTAAACCCTAAGCCTCCGCAACTATGATGGGCACCCTGCAACTCAATAGTGGTTCAATAATGTTGGTTTTCCTGGTTCTCTATGGCTTGCATAGGCTCATTTCGTTTCTTTGGTGGAGACCCAAGAGAACTCAAAAACTTTTCAGGTCACAGGGGATCAAAGGACCCTCATATAAACTTTTGCTTGGCAACCTCAAAGACTTGGCCCAAATCAAACAGCAGCACAAATCTCAGACCCAAAAAGGAGTCGCTACTTCAAAGCATGACATTGTTTCGGGCATTATGCCTCACATCAACGTTTGGAGAAAAAAATATGGTTTGTTGTACTCATCCTACGCATTCCAATCTTGTTCCTTCCTCTAGAAATTCCCTCAACACCATATCTTCATCATTTTATATATATATATATATATATATATATATATATATATATGAAAAATATATAATGAGACAATTTATTTTTGATATAAGGTGGACAATTAATTTTGACCATTGGATGTGAAATTAGATGGCTGCATTTATTCCAATGACCATGATCAAAATTTAAAAGAATTTTTCTCGTACTCTATAGCGCACCCAAAGTATCAAATTTCACATCGGATGGTTATAAGTAATTATAGCCTCCTTGTATCAAGGGTAAATGGTCACGTTAAATACATACCCATATATATAGATATATGCCACCAACGCCAAGTATCTACTGTTATATACGAGTATTCTGTTTTTTTTGGTAAATATGTTCTCTCTATACTAGTCATCATTGTTCTCTATATTTCTCGCACTCATGTGTGAGGAGTATTTCTTACCTCCACCGTTTTTGATGAAGTCAAAACAAAATTGCTGCCACTATATGTCAAAATGGATGTGGGAAAAGAGATATTCAGAAAATGTAATTTTTTTTTGGTGAAAAATAATTTTAAATTTATAATCACCATTATTGTTCAAATTAACAAATATGAAAGTTCTGGATCCAAGATCTATCTTTCAGATGGATTTTGAAGGGGAATGTACATGTCCATCTGAGTAACCTTTATTTTTTGTTCTAGGCAAAAATATTTCTTACGCTCTAGGGCAGTGGATTACGTTGGTGTTTCTTCCCATTTTGGCGGCCTCAAGTGCATTTTTATTGTACCAACATGCTGTGCACATTTTATTGGGCCACATAAAAGGCTTCGGACAAAATCTCTCAACCAAATAGTAGCAAGTAGTTTTTCTTGATGGGAGATAATCTATGATACGGGTAATTCACTATAGAGTAATTTAAAAAAGGGATAATATCTTCATACCCTATATTTTTAAGTTTCATTTCACAATAGACTCAAGGTTTTAAAAGATATATTGGGACATAAAAATTGTAGATTTTATTTCTTCTAATCCCCTGAGCTAATTTAAACATATTTTTTTAGGCCAAACAAATCTAAAAAGATATGCCTTTTCTAAAAGCCATCCTCCCAAATTTCTAGAGAGAGAGAGAAGGGCTTTATGGAGGTGAGTGGTTATCGGGAGAGAGAGAGAAGTGTTTGGAGAAACAAAAAAGGAAAAAGAGTGAGAGACACAAGAAGAGAGAGAGTGAGAGAAGTTTATAGTATATAAGTGAAGAGAGAAAAAAAGATTGGGTTTAGAAAGAGCATGTCTTTCTCACATTTGTTTAGATTAAAAAATAGGTTTAAAGTTGCTAGGGGGTTAGAAACCTTGAGTTTATCAAGAAATGAAACCTAAAATTAGGAGATATAGAGATATTTTCGCATTAAAAAAACCAAAAAAAAAGAAAATATGAAATGGGCCCTCAACCTGTGTTTTTTTATGTTTCTCCAAAATTGCCTCTCAATGTGAGGATAGCATCCTCAGATTGCACTTTAATTTTATTTTTTTGCTTTTTAGTTTGTTTTGTTAATAGGGTAGTGCCCTAGTGAGAGGGGTAATGCCTAGTCTAGACAGCAGTCCAAGGTTGGCATACTGGGACCACCTTATTTCTTAGGAAACAAATGAGCTAATGCGGTCCGAGGATGCCAACCTTGGACCGCCCTGAAGAGTACTAGAGAAGGCATTCCGAGAATAGGCACCTCGAACTGCCTTTGAATGCTTAACAAATTTAGACAAATTCAGTCTTTGCGGTCCGAGGATGCCAACCTCGGACTGCTTTGAAAAATCACCACCGAAGGCAATGGTGCTAACATAGTCCACACGTAATGCACCATTCATTGTTTTAGGAAGTTCAGGGGCTTCTATGAGTTATAGGACGTATATATAGAAATAAGTCCCCTCTTAAAAACTCATTTTTGAAATGGGTTTCAACCTAATTTTAAGGAATATATAATCTCTACCTTGGAGATTGTGAATTTATAAAAATTAATAAAATCTAAGGAATGGAAATAATAATTTTATTGAAGAAAATAGTTTAAACCATTTGTTTTAACACTTTTTGGAGGGACCACTCATTTGCATCCATCTTAAAGATGGATGTTTTTTGCTTTGGAGTTTAAATTGTAGAAATGTATCCCCCTATGCATACTAACAATTTGTGTTTTAGAAAGGATCCTCTAGATTTTTTATCTCCAAAAGTTTGCATAATCCTCTTGGATGGAATGAAGAAAATATGTGCCCAAAATACAGGACTGTAGATCTATTTTTGTACCCCATTTCAGTTCACCATTTTGTTTTTGTTAGGAAAAGTTATTTGTTTGTCAATGGACGCATCAGTCTGATCCATGTGTTGAGGATTGATGTCTTGTATGATGTCTTGTATTCTGAAGAAATAGATCTACCAAGGTAGAGTAAAAAAGACGACTTTGGAGGGAAAATTCAGATATATCCGTACATGAGATTTGATATATCTGAGACTTGATATATATCCGTACAAGGGTATTTCGATAATTTGTACCATCTATCTGAGACTCGATATATATTGTTACGATTAGGGTTAAGGTTTAAGGGAAAAATGCAGATTGCTTTGTAATCAGCGAGGCGTGAGGAAAAGAGCTTTGGTAACCCTATTCTCCATTGCCAGTAAAGAAGTTCTCATCACCCGTAGACGTAGGCACGTTGCCGAACCACGTATATCATTGCGATGTAGTTGGTTGTCTTTTTCTTTTGTGTTTGTTTCTTCTTTCTAGTTTTCGTGGATTACTTTTCGTTTCTACACCATGAATGTCCAATTTTTAACATAGACATCATAAGAAGTGCATGAGACCAAAATATCAAATTAATTGTGCAAAAGTATATAGAAAAAGTCATTTTAAATTTTAAAATTTTAATGAAAAATCCATCCATCTTTAAGATAAATTCTACAAGGTGGATGCATGTGTACAAGCGAGTTAGCCGTCTCAATTGTCCCATTAAAGCCCCACCCTTTGCTTAATGCCATTGGCGATGTTGATGTGAGTGCAGGTAGTGTGTACTTGTACTGGTTTGGGACAAGTCCTAGGCTTGTATTGATGGAGCCGGAGCTCATAAGAGAGATGACGGTCACCAAATCAAAGCATTTTGTAAAGAACATAACTAACCCATACCTAAATGAAATGTTGGGCAACAGTGTTGTTATTATTAATGGAGAGGTGTGGGAGAGCCACAGGAAGATTCTCAATCCCTTTTTCAACTTGGAATCCTTAAAGGTCAGAATGCTTTTTTATATTTTATTTGCTTTCATTATTCGTAATTACTTTCAAATTCATCTCTCCTGTACTTTCTCTTTTCTATATATCCATCCAAACACGATCGTGATGATTGGGCACTTATTTTGCCAATTCTTGGTTCCTTGTGATTTGTAAATAAAAGTCGAAAGGAGTGTTTGACCTCTTATTTGAAAATTGAGCATTTTATGAACCCATGGGCCGTTTTTTTCCCCTGCATTATAAGTATTCTTGTTTTCATTTAGTACCACAGTGAGAAGTTTTAAGTTACGTAATATGTCACTTGATAGAGTAGTGAGACATCTCTGTGATAGACTTTTGAATTTTCAATGATTAATTGTATGACATTATGGTAATAGATCCTCACTTGTCTATACATGCATTTCATGCTATGGTGATCATATCCATTCACTTTCATATGGATGATCCACTAGATAGCTTCTATCAGTCTCTAAAAGGCTAGTAAGTCTTTTAGTGGAGCGCATAAGCCACTTGAAAATGTTTTTAATAGTAGTGAGACCTTATGTAGAGCTGCATAGATTATGATATTATTATATGATGATAAGGACACCTCATTTTATAGGCTAGTCACACTGATAGTGACTATCTATGCATGGACAATATACATACGACTTAATGCAATTGGTTGTTTATCATGAGATAATTTGTGAAATTAAATGTGAGAGAAATCCAATAAACTTTGATAAGTCCCACATTACATGAGATAATGTCCTAATTGATTCGAACTTATAATGTGTTTGGTCACTCAGACATGTATAATTGAACCTCTCTTGATATTGGGATTGGATCTAATTAATAGGTTCATGATGACACCTGCTAGCCATCTAAGCCTAGTGTAATATCAATAAGAGATTGAATGTATTGAATGATGAAATGCTTGAAAGTCCAATCACTACTCCCACACTTTGGTTTTGAATGGATAAAGTACCATGTCGTGACTAAAGAAACTTTGAGAACAATGTATGAGATTAAATCATGATTTTAATGAACTTTTGTTCGAGTAAAAATCTGTGTTATTTGAGAATTGACATGTACATAGAGTTGTGAACTTTTGAGCACATGAATAAATCTTGAAAGTGCAAGTAAGAAAATAGATGTGAACATATATGTCAATCTTTATGAGTATAAATTGTCATGAACATGCACATAAAAGTACTGTACTCTTTGCCATACCATATGTTCCCATATTTCTTTTCCTTTAGGGATACCCATTGTATTATTAGAATATGTGATTGTTGAAGATGAGGGTTACTTCGGCAATTAGCACCTAGTAGATTAGTATGTCAAGCATTGACGTGAGTATGATATGATATGTTGACACATAAACTACATGATATTTGATTAAATATGTGGATGAAAGAGATCGAACATGACATTTAAATTGTGATTTGTTGTTTATGTGACATACACCAGGCATAGAAATAATTCTTGATAATTTGCACATATGTTTGACCACACTTGCTTTTATTAGTTCATAACTATTGATTATGTTAATGGTCCATGTTGATTGCCTATGCATATGGAACATACAATTACGCTTATGCACGATATGAGATTGAGAAAGTTGACTTGGTTGTTGATACTTGCCCCCTTGCTTGATATGAGCATTGCTTTTATGGTAGAGAATGGATATTTTAAATTATATCATCGTGTATAAGAATGAGAGAGAGAATCGTTTATATGGCCTTACAAGGTCAAGTGGGAGAATGTTGGCTATATGGCCTTTCAAAGCTTTAAAACCAATAGTCTTACGTTCAGTGGGAGTTAGAGAGAGACTGAATCTGGGTGCTTGGCGCACTGAGGCCCAGATTCATATACCTCGAGTATTTGAGGCATTGAGAGTATACGTTTTGAGAGTGTGAACTCTCGAGGAGGTGTGAGAGTCACCTCCCAGCCATGAATATATTGATTAGAATGCCTCATAGTTGCTGTGATAAGCCAGGGTTTGAAAAATTCAATTGAGAATAATAGAACCCGAGTATTTAAAAGAGTATTCGCTCTGTATGGGATGGTTGGCTCATGGGACATGAGCTCGTATTCTGACACGATACCGTTCCATGGCATGTACACCCATAATCGTATGGGGAAGCCACTTTTCGATAGTATTATCCGACTTAAAAGAGCTAGTGCACATGTTCTTTGAGAGGACCCCTGTATTTGAGTAGGAATATGTCCCACTGGGGTGCACCAGTAATCCATTGAATCCCTAGTGACGGGAAGCTCTAACTCAACGACTTTGATGTGACCAATTATGTGTTCCTGCCATAGATTGTGGAGCATAAGTCCATTGGGTCGGCTTGAGACATCGGTGGAACGTCATTCGGTTTAGCCCAATGGAAGACTCCGACTAGTGTTATAAGTCTAGAGATTTCATTTACCTTTGGCCCAAATTAATCTAAAATTGACGAGAAAATATTTTATATTGATGAGAAATTGTGTAATAATGTTGAAAAATCTTTTAGAGAATTTTTGAGATTTTTGGAGAATTGTTTAGATTTTTTAAACAATAAAAAATGTGATTTTCAAATTTGTTTAACGTAAATACCAAACAAGAATATCCTGTTGGGATGCGACATGGATACCAAGTGGCCATAGGCATGCCATGTGGCTCCCCCACCTCCTCACTTGTGGATGACATCATGCTAATGTCATATCCATGTGGGGACCTATTTGTCATTAATTCTTTTATTGATATTATGTTATAACATGTTATCTTGTTATTTAAAGGGCTATATATTGTAATGACTTAAGTTTGATTTAAATCACATGTTTATTTTTGCTCATATGTGCCATTTTTGATATGTGTGAAGTCATGAAATTTTGAGAATTAATTTAATTAATATTATTATCCACATATGATTTTGTAGCATGTGAGTATATCTTATGCGACACCACCTTATGGGCTTGACTCATATGAAACTTTAGTGTTGTTAAAATCCTATTGGTGGTGTCATAAGATATTTTATTCACATGTGTGGATGTCTCATATTACCTTTATATCCATGTCCTTGTATTTTATTGGCTCTAAAAAATTATTCAAAAATCATGAGCGTAAGTGTAAATATGAATTTGGACTTAATGAGAAGTAAAACATAGAGCTAAGGGCTTCAAGGTAAAATGACTATAAACCTAGGTTTAAGGAGTGAAAGGTGTCAAAAGCTCATCCATTGATCTTGGTGATAAGATATGGATGAGTGGTTTGGATAAAAACCTCTCATTTGCTATTAATCTAAGGCATCAAGGATCAAGATTAAATCCATCTTTATTATCTAAGTATAAAAATAACTTATGAAATCAATTATAATCATAACTTGAGTATTCACTTCAAAGAGAGAGAGAGAGAGAGAGAGAGAGAGAGAGAGAGAGAGCCCTTGAACAAAAAGGTAGTCACCCATGAGACTATCTTCTTCCTTGAGCTTTTATTTGAAACCGTTCCAAGGAGTAGTCCATTATTTATGTGATCAAGCCCATATTAGTGCTTCATTAAGGTATTGATTTTTCTTCTCAGATATTTAATTCCTACCTCATTTCCATTAGTAAATCTTACTATAATTCTTAATTTACAGTAGCTTTTTTCATTTTTTGTCATGAAAACTTGATATTTGAAGAGTCCCAAAGCATAGTATGTGTAGACTAGCTTGCTTACTCCATGATCTTGAGTAGTTTGAACTTGATTTATTGATCTTATTTTTCTGAAATTTTTACTAAGAATATGCAACTGATGAGAGGTTTATTTCATCATATTTAAGCATAAGAAATAGTCCATTGAGTTCCCTTTTAAAAGTTCGCGTGGTCCCTTATGGACCACATGGTGTAGTTTCACCATAACTTCCTTATTTTGTGTAGTATCTCTCTCAAACTTTGAAGAGATATTTTGATGCATGTCTATCTCATGATTTGATCCCCATTAAGTGAAATAAAAATGATCATTTGTTTTCCATTGGATTGATCTCCTTGAGTTATTATTATCATTTGTACCTTAAACAATGAGACTAAATTAAGTCCTCAAAAGGCCCTTTCGTGGCTCAGGTACAAGGGGTTCGAACCATGGTTTTTCTATGTATGTTTGGTTTTCCTATGTATGTTTGCATGTTAATTTGATGTATTTACAGCTATTAAATGGATTCATAATTGGTTAAACTGAGTATATTGTGTGAATATTGAGATTGTTTTTTAATCTTGCGGTATGAGCTTTAATGTTATGCATTATTGTTTATGCGAATTGAAATCTTATTGAATTATTATGAACAAGTGTATGATGTGTATGAGATATTATGATATATGATGAGGATGAAGAATGAAAATGAAATTATCATATTGTTATAATGAGGAATTGCGAGTGCAAGTCATGCAATATGTTGTAGAGATGTACAATGTGAATATTTGAATATTGTATTAAGTTTAATTGAATTTTTGAGTAAGGAATTTGTAAAGGACCTATTAGGGTTGAATTTTATTATTCAAATGTGTATAAACCATGTTTGGAGGCTAGAATATATGTATTATGGTTTTGTATTGAGATATTCATGCATTTAAACCCTTAAGTTTTTATACAAAGGAAATTTGTTAAAAGATTGCATTTCTAGCCCATTGGTCTTATACCACCAACAAATTGTTGTGATTGTATATATTAATGTTGAGTAGCAGCGAACATAAAACTTTGCCAAAATGTTTCATGAAATAGTTGACCCTAATAGTTGGAAAACGGCTTTGATGTTGATGAAGATATGAAATTCTATATAGAGTGTTGTGTTTGTACTTGCCCGAGTAGAGTCAAGCACCAGTGAGTCAGTTGGGTATGGTAGCCTATTGAGCCATGATCATAGTACCAAAGGGCACCTGTACAATATTCAGGTAACTATTGTAACGACATCACCGAGTTCTACATGCAGGAATTAAAAGGGTGTAATAATCTGCCCCGTCTTCATTTTTTGAATTTTGCCCCCTCTCCCCCTCTTTGC